TGGTGGGGGGGGGGGGGGCATGGGACATACAATAATAAGACAGACATAATTAACTCTCACAAGAGAAAGGTACATATGCATATAAAAGCATACTTACGCATTGCATATAAATTTCAGTGTGCCACATCCTTGCGTTCAGCAAGGCTGCTTTACTGTTCCTGTAGTACAAATCTATGTTGCCCTTTAAGGAATATCCTTGGCTGGATAACAAGGCTGGTATCTCTTACCAAAGCAAAATCCACTGTAAAGCTATTGCCTGGGAAAGGACCTGGAATCTTGACCTACGAAACTCAGTTTGCCCATTTGAAGAACAGGCTTAAAATATTTTATCGTTAAGGCAGTAAAATATTAATCTTTAGCTTTCTTTCACTTTTAGCTAACCAGTCACCTTCTAAGAATTGTACACATGCTTACCTGTCACCATTTCCTCTTATCCGAGATGAACAGAATTCAACGTCTTATGACTCTGCAATCAGTAAGTATTTTTTTGGCTGCAAATGGATACAATGCCTATAGTTTCAAGAAAACAATTTGGATGCTTCTGTATAAAACAGCCTTATCGCTCCACACAGTTTAATTAATAGAGTCTTGCTGTTTCATACTTCTCATAATTTTACAACATGAATATTTAAGCCACTGTTTAGCAAAGCACTTAAATGAATGCTTAGCTTTAAGCGTGATGGCAGAATGGAAGTCATTTCTAAAAAAAGAGACATTTCCTTTTTCAGTGCTTTTTTATCCAACATAAAAAGTATCTTCCGTGGGCTGAATGCATTAAACAAGTACTTTTTCTCATGTATTCCAATAAAACTGGTTTTTTGTTAAATAAATAACCACATGTGGAAATATATTGCATTTTTACTTTATGAGGAAGGAGGAGAGGGGCCTTGATACTGTCTTAAGTTTATTCAACTAACTCAGATATACTGCACTGACCACTGGATGTGTCAACTTCTCTCCATTGATATTATAGGGAGCTAAGGCACTGAAATTACTCTAAACAGTGTGTGCCATACATGAATAATGTAGCCTAAGATAGTAGCAATGGGCAGTTTTGTTTTGTAAACTAAGCTCTTTTAAAATATATATATGTTCTCTATAATAGTTCAAAATACTTACTATGTTAAACTGAGATATTAACAAGAAACTCTAGCGCAGTAAGAGAGATATGTATATATATGGAAGATACACAGTAATTGAAAAACTTATGTTTGAACAATGCCTGGAAAGCTGTTTTTACAACTCCACTTAAAAATATTGGTCACATTTCATCACATCAAGGACTTTATGCAAGCGTATTTGAAGTAAATCACTTCTGTTACCTATTTCATATGACTTTTTAAATAACCTGTTATGTGTCGATGCTGCACGTCTCTGAGCCCGCTGACTCAGTGACTTAAGCGGTCCCTTCTTGTCCTGAAGCTGTAATTATGCCTTTGCTAACTTTGAAGTGTCTTCAGAATCCAATTTTTATGCTGCAGACATGAAAAAAATAAGTTGGACTGATAATGGTTCTGTTAATCTTTAGAAATTATGAACTGTTTGTCCAGGCAGAATTCAGACCTCACCATTCAGAGATCTAATCTGTAACTTCACAGCACATCTAGAACAGTTTACCTTTCCATTTGAAAGCGACAGAGTCATCAGCTCCTAATAATCTAGACAGAGTTTGTATTCCACCATTCACTCATACATTCAGAAAGGATCCTCAAATTATATTGCATGATTACACAGAAGTGGACAAACAAAGAATAAGGAAAGGAGAAGGAATATCATCAAAAGTTTAATTAATTTTAGTTAATGTTTGCCAAAAGAACCACTGCTCAAATATAATTTTCCTATCTATATTTCATATTAGGAGATTAAAAATAGACAGAACTGTGCTATAGATGCTGTCCCAGGTAGAGTATATTCAGAGCCATTTCTGCTATATAAATAGATACAGTTGGATTGCTTTTGAGCTCATTAAAACTGAAGAGGGTTTTCTTTTATGCCTCCAGTTCACTTTCAGCATCCAAGCTGAGTTATTTACTAGAGCAGGTATGCTTGTTCAAGAATCTTTCACAACTTTTTATGAAGAAGGTTATGTCATCATCTCTTCCGTTAGTTCAAAACTTGTTTCTCCTTTAGTCTAGTTTGACAGTCCTGCCCAAGATATTTGGCAAACAAGTTTTTAAAACCTCGCTGCAGCTGCAGTTGCTAAATTAAGAAATACTAGAAGGTTATCCTCTTCTTCTTGATTCGCAGTGGAGGAAATACTTCTCTGTAAAAGCCAGTGGCAAAAGCCCCCAATTTGATTTCATGAAGAACAAGATTTCATCAACTATTTGTACATCCAGTTGGCTGCATATAATACCTTACATCAATTAAACATAGAACAAAAGGACAGTACCAAAAGAGTGAGGTTATTGTCCCTTTTTTTTGGTTCCGCTACTGTTTCTTGATACAATATTACCATTTTCATGGCTTTCTCAAGATACTCACTTTTGCGGATAAAAAAAAGAAATCTTCCACACAGGTTTATGACTGTGTTTCTAGTGAGTCCCTCAAGTCCTATTTTAATTAGGAGTGGATAAGAAGAAATATTCTGTCATCTGAAAAATACTTAGTTTGCTCTTTCATAGAAAAATAAACAGCTGAATAAAAAGCTTTAAACTTCATTAGAAAAATCAAACATGTATGTACAACATATTTTTCTAAAAATCTCTAACTTTCTGTTAACAGAACTGTTAGTTTCTGAGGGAGCAAAGGCACATGACTTCTTTTACAGACTGTTTGGCTTAAGAGACTTTGGGACCTTATCAGAGGAATTTGGATTTAACTGCAGCCCCTAGTGGAAACACAAGCATCGTTTGTTGGTGGAGTGCCATGTTACCATCCAGATAGAAGAGCTCAGGCAAAGATAGGTTTCCTGAGGAACATAAAATCTCTGATGATTTTTGAGTGCAGTGACTGGACCAATTTCTCTGTTGACATAACTCCTTTGGCTTTAGTATCAGTAGGAATTTGGCTCAGAGGTTTTCCAGGCCAGGATTCAAAAGAGGCTCAATCTATCCCCTCTTAGCTTATTTACATCTTTTTGTGTGTTGGTTTTACAGTGTTTGTGTGATAGTTCCCAAAAGACACAAACACTGAAGACCTTCAAGTTTAGTGTTTTAGTATGCTTTACAAAGCTTTAGACCAAAGGCTTGGTTCATCCTGCTGTGCAAACCTAGACTGTGAGCTCTTGCTGTCAAGAATTATAGCCTTAGATGGAAATGCAAAGACAGAAGAGCCTACAGTGATGCTTGTCTTGGGGATTTGAATGCATGTTTTAATGTCTCGGGTTTCTTTTCATCATTACTGTCAGATGCATGATCAGCTTCGAAGGGTTAGATAGCACTGCTTTGAAATTGCAGCTCTCTGTATCTTTTCATCGCAGTTACAATGGTTTTGTTCAGTCACTGGTTTTGTTAAATATCTTGGCGGAATGGGGAGGAGTTCACCTACCTGCAGTGTAAGGTGTGGTCCACACCTGTGCTAACCATCATTTATGGTTAATGCGCTTAAAGAAATCTGCAGGCCATGTCATTTATCTTAACCTGAAACAGGCATCTAAATGAACTCAGGGGAAGCCTGACTCTAGTGACTTTCTGTGATGGTACAGTGGTTTATAGTGACAGCTATTATAGCGTGCAGCTATTAAGTAGACTTAGACAGCACCTCATTGTGTTGCCAGCACATTCATTTATATGATGATTCACAAACATATGTGCAGCAAACTACAAGCTAGGAATAAAAAAAATGAAATTAGCCCATACAATAGAAGTGCCAGAGTAGTGACCTCTACATTCTAAAATAAACATACATTTGTATAATCATAATCAGATTGGTTATCCTGTCAAGCTATTTTGAAAACATAATAGTATAGTACTTAAATAATAATTCATTGCTAGCTAGATTAATGCATGGTATCATGTCATTAGATTACTTAACACTGACATTCAAGGACTATCACACTTTTATAAAACTCTTTTACCACAGGACAGTACTAGGCCTGTTTTTGGAAAACGTACAAAGTCCTTACTCGTACAAGTAGTCCCGTTGGCTATAGTGAGATTATTCCTAAGAAAAAGAAGTGCAAGATCTAGCACTTAGTCAAGTCATTAACTTTATTTTTGAGGGGTTTTTTTTCAACTTGATTCGGAAACAAACAATAGTTCCTTAACTGTTGTAAATTGCCCCAGCGCCTTCTGAAGCCAAATTGGAAGGCATTTAATGGGGCTGCGCTGACACATTAGTTGTTTAATACTCTGATTTGTAGTTGCTAGTATTTTTTTCCTGACCATTAGTATCTTATTTTGTCCATTACTGGGCACATTGCCAGCATTTGAAGTAGTGCCTAATTTAATGTAGAATACAGAATGTTTATAGGACTGAAGCGAAATTCTCGTTCAGCAACTATTACTTCTAAAATGGTGTGACCAAATTTATTGGCAGGTTTGTTACTAGGTTGAAAATAACCTAAAGTAATCTAGAAAGTATCAGCAATGAAATCTGAAAATAAAGCGAAATGTTAGCAATAGCCTATTTCTAGAGCAAAAAAAATGCTGTTATGTAATACAGTCACATAATTGCCCATGAAAGATTGTAATACAGTACATTTACTAAGGGATAACTCCCCAGGCACCAAGCAGTGGTAAAGCAAGGAGTATTTAAAAAAGCAATGTATTCGTACTGTGAATATTGTATTTATTTTACTGTTAAGGTTATTAAAAAAAAAGATTATTACTACTAAGGGATAGTAAAGGGTACTGAGTGAAACTGAGAAAAGTTTTGCAAGGTTTACTGTGTTGCCAGGTGTGTCTCCTGTGCTGCTGCTGAGATGCATGATCTCATTTACAGCTGTTTATCTGCAGAGAAGATGATACTCCTGATTTAGAGCAGTTCAGGCACTTCACCTTTCATTGTAGTTTATATTGTGGGTGACATTTTGATACCTCTTGTCAAAAGCGTTTTGATATCTCTTGAAAGTTTTGCAAGGTTTACTGTGTTGCCAGGTGTGTCTCCTGTGCTGCTGCTGAGATGCATGATCTCATTTACAGCTGTTTATCTGCAGAGAAGATGATACTCCTGATTTAGAGCAGTTCAGGCACTTCACCTTTCATTGTAGTTTATATTGTGGGTGACATTTTGATACCTCTTGTCAAAAGCATTTTGATATCTCTTACATTAAATAGAGAGGTAAAAAAGACATATTCTAAAATACAATCCACAGTCAAATCACAGGAAAGGTTCACTGTAGGATGTGAGCTTGTGGGTGAAAATTCAAGGCAACTTTTCCAAGTAATTTTGCCTATCCTAGGTAATGTTTATGCAGCACTGTACTCACACATGCTTCAGAAAGTTTTTCAGCTTTGTAGTGGTTAATAATTTGTGTTCTATATTAAATTCAATATTAAGTGGCTGGGGGTTTTTTTGATAGGGCCTAGAAAACATATGGGCTGATAGCTGAGATTTAACACACTTGAAGTCAGCAAGGCCAATAAAATGTGTGGTATGGTTGGTGTTAATGTCTCCAGTTGTCAATGGGTGTTGCATTGTGTCATTAGCTAACCTGTTCTTGAATAACCCATTACAGAGCTTCTGAGGCGTGTACGGCTACTACACAACAAGTGTGCATTGCAGGTGACACAGCTGTGTAACTTTGTAAAATATATTACTGCTTCTCTTTCATATCATGCACCAGTAACATCTTAAAATATGAATCTGTGGCTTCAGTTTATAATCAATGCTGGGACCTACTATACTAGAAAAGGGAGCTTTTGATAATTTTCAGCCATTTCTCCAAAATTCGGTCCCTTTCTCAAAACCAGATACTTCTTCCAGTTTTCAAATGATGCAGAAGTCTCCAGAGGAGTCTAAATTAGGATCTTCAGGGAGAAAAACAAGTAGCAATGGAAAATTACAGGTCACGCAATTTTGGAGGAATATACTGCAGCTATAATGTTCACATAGTATACAGGCTGAACAGTGCAGAGCTCAAAGACAAGCATACTGTGTGTACTCCTGTTTTCCTCTAAGTCCTATTTTATTTTTAGGCCTGCCTGTCACTGCCAAGCCCAATGTTGTACCCCAACGAAGGGCAGCTTACCAAGACAAGTTACAGAACCTTCTATTTAGCACTCTCGCAACACAGAGCAATGGTATCTGAGATTAACACTGCAGATAAGTTTACCTCGGACTCTGCGGTAGTGCTTGTACTTTATTTCTTGTACTGTAGGAAACACTTGGAATAATGCATGTACTTGAGGTAGCTAACTCAAACATATCTGTGAAGTACCTTGGAGAAGCAAGGGTATTCCTTGTCATGTGGACCAGAACACAGGCTATCTTATGAACTGCCTCGCTGAGACTTTAGATGGTGCAAACTTCTCTTAACACCTTGTAGAGGTACACTGAACCATTATTTCTTGAAACAGGCTGCCTGGATCACAGTGTCATCCCTTTTCATGGGGTATAAAGGAGCACAGTTCAAAGCAGCATCTTCTGTTGTATTTTTTCTGTCATGGTTCACCTCAATCTCGGAGCAGCAAAGTCTTTGACTTGAAGAGTAAGTTCATTCTTAGGCGGTTTTAATTTCAGCCAGCTCTTTTGTGTTCATCTATAGATGCCAGCTAAGCTAAATGACAGCAGTAGGGCTGCATTGTAATTTTGAACGATTAGCCCTGCAGGAACTGATCTTGCCCATCTAGGCAGAGAAGATGGGAAATGTGGTCTGAGCAAAAATGATCTGAGTATGAAATAAGTGAAGCCTTCTTTGCAGAAAATTGGTTGCTTTTTAACTCCCTTACTAAAGAAAAAGTCTAAATGCTCTTAGGATGTTTCCTCAAACCTGTGCCACAAATGACCCTAAGGACTTACTGTCTTGCGGATTAGAGGGGGTAGTCTTTCACTTGAAAAGTCGCTGATTTGGGAACATTGCAGACTTTTTACCTGTCAACTCTACTCTATTTTCTAATTGACATTTAATGATGGAGTTATCCTAAACAAGTATTAGGATCATCAGAATTTATCCATGATTCTCTAGAGTAAATAATTATTTCCAGAGAAATAGAATAGAAGCTTACTTCAGATGCTAGCTAGGTCAAATCAGTATTTCACATATAATGCATAAAATAGTTATGCTGTTGGAGCAGAGAAACAGCTTTTCTCTTGTGTAGTTACAGAGAGGTTTCAACAAATTTTCATCAGTTACATTTGTACTCCTTTTGTGTTGGGTTTCCAGGAATATTTGAACAAATCACGCTTTTCTGGTAGAGTTTCATTAAAAGCAGATTTCAAAGCTTCCTGTATGAAGAGTAGATAATGAAACTGTGTACTAATTTTGTAATGCTGGAGAAGCTTGTGTCCTCATCCATTCAGAAAATAGAAACACTGCTGTATGACTTGGGTGACTGACCATAATGATATCGAAGAAAGCTTTTTCAAGGTCCATTTTGGCCAATGTGTCCTATTATGTAGCATGACTTTGAAGTACCTTGGGCCATCCATGTAAAAGAGTTGGGTGGTTATAGACTGATTTAGCGGTATTAGGTTTTAAATGAGGAAGTAATGTCCCATGGACTTGGGGACTGCGATGAAGCTTAGCAAAGTAGCCCCGTGAGTAAAATAATATGAAATTGCTTCAGAGACCCAAGACTGAAGGACTTGAGAGATTTACCTTTCTAGGTCTCCATTCACTGCCCATTTGCATTAAGTGAATCATTTAACTATGTGTTTAACTTTAAACAGGTGCCTAAATCCCGTAAGAGGTAGAGTACTTAAAGCAGAACACACACTTAACTGCTTTGCTGAACCACAGCCTTATTTCCTACTTACTGTTTCCATGTTTTTTTGTTTATGTGGCAAGAAGTCTTGCATTGGTTATGAACCAAAACACAATTTTAACCCTTCTGCCAGCTACTTTCAGGCACATTCATCCTTCCTATGCCCAAATCTGCTGATCAGTGTGGTGGAAAATTACGTCTCTGAATGTTTGCCTGGATTAAAAAGGATGTTATTTAAAAGTGTGGCTAATGTGATGTGGTGAACGTGATCTAGCTAGTACATTTACAAGGTTGATAGAAGCAAGATGGTGTGTACTTTAACATGAGTTAAGCTGGTCAAATTAAAAACTACCGATTTTTGGAACACGTTAGTGGGAAGCACAAGTCTAGTGCACCTTCAGATTTCAGATGAGAGCAAACCCGAATTATTCCAGAATAGCTGGCTCTAACAAGCTGTATGAATTTGAAACTTTCAGGATATGAACCAGTATAATAGTTGCTTGGTTGTGTTTTGCCATAACAGTAAGTAGGTGCTGTCAAATGATAAGTGGCAGTTTCTTTTGTGACTCACTTTTCCTGACTTGCCAGCTGGCTTATATGCTTTCCCTCAGTTGGGTGGAAATGTTTTTCACTGACTGAATTGTCAGTGCTTCAAGATTTTCAGATCTGACGATGGAGATCTTTGCAACTCATAATTTTACTAATGGGTTGTGTTAATGTACCAATTTTTAAATTCATGGGAGAAATTTATGTCACTCTTGTAGCATTTATAAAATGATGACTTTGTTAAATGGATGTGCAATTAACCAGCTAAAAAATAATTGTTAGAAAGACTCTTTTGGCCAGAGAATGTCACAAAACTCTCGGCTCATTTATCACCAGCTGCATCCATTAATTCAGCACTGCTTGGCACTCTCTAACAAAGGCTTCTGAAACATCACATTTTAAATTTAATAAAATACAAAGAGCTTTAGAGCAGGAATAGGCTGGTTTAAAATACTTAACTGTTTTTCAGAAACCCAGGTTACATTTTTTTTAGTTTCTCCTCCCTCCTGCTTTAGATTTCCTTCTATTGAATACCACTATATGTAAGGAGAGTTATCCAGTTGTAAATTGTAGAGAACTTACAGATTGCTATTGGTGATATGGTCTGAGCACTAAGAATGCCAAGATGTTACAGCTCTCTGCTTCTCCCAGACAATTTTGGTAAAACAATTGTATCCTGCCAGTCCAATCATTTATCCTAAAAAATCATTGCTACAGCTTCGATGTACCATTTTCTAAAGAGCATAAATTTGGTCAAGTTGTTATCTTACAAGGCACTGCTAAATATTAAGCAGACGGATTTCATTCATGGTAACTTACAACCTATTTTCCACGACCATCAGATGAGGACTGGCATTCAAACCTAATTTGGTCCACATGATATATAATGTATATGCACAATGGAATGGATGTGTCATTTGTTAATAACGCAAGTGAAAAGAGAAGGGGAAAATAAAAATCTTTGTTACCCAAATATGTCAGTTGTTTAAGTTCTAAAAAGTGTTGTATTCTTTTTTTTTCCTTCTTTCCTTTCTCCAGTTTATCGAGGTTTCTGGACGGTTCTTATGCTCCTGGGAGTGCTCACTAGTGTGATGGCTAGTTTTTTCATCATCTGTGCAGCTCCTTTTGCCAGCCACATTCTGTATAAAGCAGGAGGAGGCTTTTTCATCATTGCTGGTGGGTATACTGTTTGCTCAGTCAATTAAAGAATAGAAAGGATGAGGTATTTCTTCCATTTTCCTTGACCAAAAATTATATTAATCATGGTTAAAAGAAAGAAAAAGCATATGCTTCTGTCCTTTGACTTGTGGAGTGCCTGCCTTGGAGACAATTCTTCCCACAGTTATTTAGTCATGAAGCTATTCTAAAAACTGCTTTTAGATTAAGATAAAAAAATCCAGGGCAAATCATGGAATTACACTGCAATTTCAATCTACTTTTTTAGCAAGAAAAAGAATGCATATTTAGGGATGCTGCCTTATAAGATTCTCAAGAGCTTTAGCTAAGGAGAGGGGTTTTTTAATCAGTGACACAAAAGATGATTACAGTGGGCTCTAAAGAAGTTGGAAGACACAGCACATTCACATGACCAATATCGGAGAAATGTTTTGGGTGTGATTGGATTACACAGAATAGTTGTCACATATGAGTAAGTGGGAGCTCTAAACCTCTGTGAATGAAAGATAACAAATAACTGAATTCCCTCCTTCCTCATAACCCACACGTACTATGGAGGACGCACCTTCCCAGAATTCAGCTGATACGGGCAGCTTTCTGGGACGCTGTTCCGTTAACCTTGAAAAGTCTGGGAAGATGCCACACTGGTGTGTAAGATACAGTTGTGTAGGATGTAAATGATAGTATGTGCTCAATCACTGTTCTCCTTTGTATAACGCCTGGCGAGAGGCAGTCCTGTGAGAGCAGTATTGTGTTACGGGGAAGAGCCACTCACATCAGGACTAAAACGCCTGGGCTCTCTTTCTGCTTCTGTTACTGACCTGCTGACCTTGCTTACCCACTTCACTTCGCAGCTCTGCATACACAGCTAGTGATCATTATTCCCTTTTAAAGGACCCTCAGTGAAGTGTGGGAAGTATTTTACAATAATTTTGCCAAAAAAACTCCTGCATACTTGCATTTGATACCATGAGAATTACTCCTCTACTCTTTTAAAAAACATACAAAAAATATTCGTAGTCTGATGGAAATCCTAAGATACTTCAATGCGTTTTGTCACTAATTTGCAGGGTAAGAGCCCATGTGAGTCCTGCTCTTTTCCTGCATTTGTAATCTGTAAAAAACCTCAGTTGTCACTAGAAAGTAGCAGAGGCTGTTGGAGGGGAAGCGGGCACTTGGAAGGCACCAAGTGATGGGCAGAGGTCCGAAGCGATGTGTGTGTTCTCCACTCTGGGTCAGTTCATCTGCCCTCATTTAAGCAGGGGAAAGTTAGATCTCCAAGTCTGTGCTAGTCTCCCTTGGCTTCCCTAGGAGGCCTGCAGGAGGCAATAACATTCACTGGCAGTCAAAACAGTAGGTGTGTAAGAAGTTCCCTCAGCTGGGGATTCATTTCATCCTGAAAGAGGGGTCTAATACAGGTCAGATGAATGTGTTGTAGAGGAACTCTATACCTCTCTTTCCTTTACTGAGGGAATCTAGAGAGACTATTTTTTTAGGTGTGTGAAGTTAAGTGAGCTTTATTATCCTTGTGTGTGACTTTGGGCCTGTCTCTTTGCCCCTCTCACCCTTTGTCCCTATAGAGCAGATGTTCTTCAAGGGAAATCCTGACTTTTTATTCTCTTCATATGTAGTATCTTCAACTTCAGGACTGTTCTCAATCAGGGCTTCAGAGAAGTGCTGTGTTATTTTTGCTACTACCGTTGTTGTTGAAAAGCAAAGACATTTAGCAAAAACCTGCTATGATCTGCCAAAAGGTAGTGGTGGCAGCAGATATAGGACCCTGGAGCCATTCAGCTTGCAAGTCATTTTGGCTTGGGTAGGGGGACACAGTTCCTGACCAAGCTCTTCTGCATCTACTCCCAGTCACACCAGTAGGGCAGGGCTGCTTGGGGAAGGTACTTACTGTAAATATCATTATCCTATTGAACACTTCAGATCACCCACAAAAACATTAAAAAAAAGTTTGTTGCTCTCAGCTCTTCTCGTAAGTCAGTATATTCCCATAGCCAAGGTGGGGGTTTAATTATGTCATGAATTAAAATCATGCTGGAGGGAGTGACCATACTGACATAAGAAGAGCTTATAAACACTTTACATTGTCAGTAGTTAAAGCTATGTCCTGTGGGATGTCTTGGACAACAACTCAGTTTCCTGTGGTGTTACTGATCAATGGCCCATCGTGTTAAATGGAGAATAGGAGGGATTCTCAGACCCAAAGGTATGACAGCATGAAATTGCTCTCTCTCTTTCTCTCCCAATAGGAATTCCTCACAATAGTTAATATCTTAAATCTGGGATAACCTGGGGGCAGAGCAAGATAAGGTAGAAGCTGATGCAGAAGAGGAGTGTTTTAGTCTGCCTCTAGAAGGCAGGGTGGTGTGCTCTACTGTGTTCCCTGCTGCCCTGACCCCTTCCTCTATCCATCTCCTTCAGGACTAGAGAGCCTGTTCGTTTACTGCCTCCTGAAGGAAAACAGGGTATGGAAGGGGAGAGTGATAAGAAGTGGTGCATATTTACCACTCATAGCAACGTGTGATCAGGATGCAGCCAGGGTGTGCATCTACGCACAGACCAAATGGGAAAATGAAAAGATGTAATGTGACTTAGATCATAGGTGAAGTTAGAGTTCTTGTAAGACAGAAACCAGCATATTGATTTGAAGAAAAAAAGGAATTATATACATTGTTTTGAAAGGGCCTGGATGCTGTATTACCACAACATTCAAGTAGCTGTTATACTGGAGAGAATAGTAAGCTTCTGAGAAAGAAGTTAGGCAAGATGGTTGTTCTGTGGAAGTTTGGAAGAAGATAGGAAGATCAGTCATTTTCCTACTTACATATATCTTTAAAAAAACAAATTAGATGAAGCAATACCTCTTATTGGACTGAAGTATCTGTATCCTTTTGCAACCTTAACTGACAAATTACGTAGCAGATAAAAGCTCTGCCTCAACTGAAGAGAACAGCTTGTGCCATCTTAGGGTTCAGAAAGCAGCTGAAGAAATTGTTGGGAATGGGATTCATGCTAACTATTTAGCCAACCAAAAGCTAAGTGTTTTGTATGAACCAACTGCTTAAACTTCTAGTGTCAATAGTAAAAAACACACTCTCAAAGGGACAATTCACCTTATCTGTGCTAAGGCAGACAGACTTGCCTTCTGGAAGGACCTATGGAAGGAGTCTAAACAGAGATCCTGAGTGACATAGAATAAGTTTCGGCACTTGTCCTAGTTTGACAAACTTTATTGTGAAAAATGTTTTTTTTTTTTAACTTATATCCACCTGAAATTGTCCTTGCTGCAGCTTGTGACCACTGTGTCTCATTCTTCCAGTGAGCATGTCTCTGAAGAGTCTAGCCCTATCTTCTCTGTAACTCCATTTATAAAGATGAAGACTCTTTTCTTCTCCAGACTAAAACTGCTCAGCTCGCTTAGCCTCTTCTTGTCCTCCCATCCCCCTGACCATCTTGGTGGTCATCACCTCAGTTTATCGGTATCTCTCTTTCACCAGGGAGCCTCAAACTGGACACAGTATTCCAGATATGATGTCACAAGTGCTGAGTAAAGGGAAATAATATTATTTTCAAACCTGCTGACTGTGTTCTTGCTGATGCAGATCTGCATGAAGTTAACTTTCATTTCTGCCAGACCTGCTTGAATTCTTGCACAATGAGAGGGACCATTCTTGTTCTTTAAGGAAGTGGCCTGTCAGGAACAAACAGTTCTTCTGGGCCCCTTTGCCCTTCAAGGCATCCTTTGTCCTTCAGGACAGCCTTTGCCCTTCAAGGCAGCCTCGCTTGTGATACTGCCTACCATTTTCCTGAACAGGCTGAAGTCTGTTCTCCTGAAGTTCTGTGTCTTTAGTCTCCTACTTACCTTCCATATTCCTCATAGGATACTAAACTATAAAGTATAATAAACTGTATTTCATGGCCGTTATAACCACAACTAACACCATCTATGATACTCCTGACCAGTTTTTCCTTATTTGTGAGTAGCAGGTCCAGCAAAGCACTTCCATTAGTTGGTCTGTTCCACACCTGTTTCAAAAAGTTATCCTTGATGCAGTCCAGCTACCTACCTCCTGAATTGCTTGCTCTCTGCAATGTTGCCCTTCTAGAAGATATTGGGATGGCTGAGTCCCTCGTGAGAACCAGAAATCGTAACTATTTTTCCAGTCCACTTTCTCTTCTTGATTGGGTGGCCTGTAACAGATGCCCACCATGATCATACCCTTTTTGTCCACCTTGTTGATCTTAACCCATAAGCTCCTGTTACTTAGAAAATCTCCATCCATTCAAGATATTTCTTTGTGCAGACTGCAGCCATCCTACTGCATCTTAACTGCCTGTTCTTAAAGAGTCTGAATCCATCCAGCAAAGCATTCCAATCAAGCAAGCTGTCTCACTATGTCTGCAGCTGCAGTGGCATCATCCATCATCCGGTGACTGCGTGAACTTGAATTCCTCCTGTGTTATTCCAACACTGAGTTCATTTATGTACATGCATTTGAGATGGGCTTTCAGTTGTGCTGCTTTCTCAGTGGAAGTGTACAAGCCTCCCTCATTGCTCTGTCCCATGTGTATGTCCTCCATTCCCTTCCCCTTGCTTATCTGGAGGCTTTGATGTCCATTGCTTGCATCTCTTCTCACAAGGTTACTGTGCTTGTTGCTCTTTCCCCACCTTGTCTGATGGATGTCACCTCTCCCCAGCAGATCTCGTATCTCAAAGAGGGTCCCATGGTCACAGAAGCCAAAGCCCTGCTTGCGACACTAGCTACAAAGCTAGGAGCTGATGTATAGTGTATGCCAACTTTTGTACAGTTTTTATCCTTTCAGCAGCAGGTTTGAGACCATCATCACCTGGGCCCCCATGCCCTTATCTCTCACCCTCAGAGCCCTGTAATTACCCACTCAAGGACTCAAGGTCTCTCTGCCAGCTCCACTGGTCTTTAGGAAAGGCTGTCCACTTCTCTTATTGAGTGGTGCAGCTGAACTACCAC